GCTCGTCCGTGCCCCATGTCATGTGCCGTAACCGCATACCATGATCTCGTTCCTGGGGTGCGGTGCGAGTGGGTCGTTTTCATTTGGGCCCTTCTAAGGCCAATGGCGATATGTCCCGGGCAAGTGGTACCAGGCTAGCCGGGCTCACCGGGTGTATAGGCCCGGATGACGCCACAGCGGGCGCAACATGCAACTGCTCGGTCAACACCGGGCTAGTAGCCCATGGTAGTGCAGGTGGCACTTGTGGAACACTTCTTTGACCACCTGCGTCTGAAAAAGGGTAAACAATTTCATCAAAGCGCACATGACGACAGATGTAGATCTTTCCATTAGTTAGGTTCATGCATCTATACCCCCTAATGGACGATGGGTAACTTAAGAAAACACAGGGTGCCGACCGGTACTCTATCTTGTGGCGATTATAAGGCCTCATATAAAGGTAACAGCGACACCCAAAGACACGGAGAAAAGTGTATGGTGGTGAGTGTTTATGTAGGCAGCTGTACGGGCTTTCAAACTGTAAGGTAGGTGTTGGAAAATAGTTAATTAGGCAAGTAGCCGTTTCAAAAGCATAGTCCCAATATTGTAGTTGGACAGAGTCTTCGGCCAAGAGTGCCAACCCGGTTTCAACAATAAGCCTGTTCTTCCGTTCAACTCTACCGTTTTGTTCATGTGTATACGCACAGGATTGACGGTGAATAATGCCGAGCCTCCTAAAAGTGTAGTGAAGCTAGCGATATTCACCGCCTAGATCCGACTGAATAGACTTGATTGAACACGAAAATTGGCGTTCTACCATGACACGAAACGACTCAAAACATTTATATATATCAGATTTTACCCGTAAGGGATAAAACCAACAGAAACGTGAGTAATCATCTACAAATAGTAGGAAATACCTAAATCAACTAGTAGAGATTACAGGAGACGGACCCCAGATATCGGTAAAAACTAAATCCAATACATTTTGACTAGGATGAAAAACCCTATCTATAGGAAGTCTGGAAAATTTGCCGAGGTGACAAGGCGCACACGACCCCAATTTATTGGCTTTATCAGGCGCAGCCGGACAGGACTGCAGAACTTTATTTTGAATGTGTGCATGCGGGTGGCCCAATCTACGGTGCCAAACTACAGGAGTTGCCCGGGAAGTCAGAAACGCAAACTGAGAGTGGGGAACTAGAAGCTAGTACAGACCACCGGATGTTGGACCTTTAAGCAGAATCGCTCGGGTTATGGAATCCTTCAAAACAAAGTAGTTTTTGTGAAACTCAAAAAATACGTTATTGTCGTTAGTGAAGCGATTAACAGACAATAAGGGAACAGGTAAATCCGGGACACACAAAACATTAGATAAACGCAACATTTTTTAACTAGATGGGATCGATGCATGACCAACATGGGAAATTTTCAAACCTGCGCCGTTACCAACACGAAGAACATCCCCGCCGGTGTACTCGTCTGCCTGAGACATCATGGACGCGTCGGGGGTTGCATGAGCCGACACGCCTATGTCGGGAACCCAGCCCGAAGCCGAGGACGGAGGAGCAGATTCATCACCGGCAACCAGCCCGAAGCCGAGGACGGAGGAGCAGATTCATCGCCGGCGGTCACCATATTCACCTGGGCGGGAGGCTGTGTAGTATATCTTTTGAAACAGTAGACTACGGTATGGCCCTGGGCTCTGCATATTTGGCATCGTAGTGCACTGTTTCTGCCGCTGCGGCCTCGGTTCTGACCGCCTCGGCCACCACGGCCTCGGTTCTGGCCGTGTCTACCACCATCTCTAGTGCTTCGCCCGCCATTATTACGACCTCCGCGGCCCACGTACATTGCAGACGGAGCAGCAGTAAATCCACCGTCTGAACCAGCCGGGTAATCCTCGGCATGGATAAATTCATGGGCTTGAAGATAATCTGAAATTTGCGAGATTGTAACGGGAATACCTGCCGCCGTGAGAGACAAGGCCAAAGAGAGGTACTCCGGCTTGTTCTCCCGCAGCTGGCTCAGCTTCAGATCCCGACGCGGATGACTCGGTAAAGGGCGTGGGCCCGGGGTCGGGGATCTTGTCCGGAAGAGTGGTCAACACTTCTTTCAGATCCTCGCCCTCGAAGACCTCCTCCATTATAGTTCGGGTCTCGTCCCGCATCGCCCGTTGACCGGACGCGTAGGCCCAATGGCCGAAGGTCTAGACCTTTTCTTCCCCGAGCTTGTTCTTCATGAGGGCTCGGAAGGACTTGTTAGCTGAGGGTTCGTCACGGCATAAAAACTTGGCCAGGCCATCCAGGTTGCCCAGTCGGGTCTTCAGCTCGCCCGCTTCTGTTCGGGCGATACGCGCCTCCTTCTCGGCCGCCGCTTGAGCCTCCTTAGCGGTTTTTAGTTCCTTCTGAAGGTCGGGGATTTCCTTGGCACGGCGCTCGGCGACTCGCTTTAAGGAGGGGCTTCATTGGCCAGCAACACCCGATACTGAAGGCCGAGGAGTGCTCGCGAGGCCTGCAAGAAAATGATGTTAAGCTAATCGATCGGCTCGAAAATGGTCTAAATTTAAAATATAGTCTTAACAAACCTCGACTAAGTCTCGTGCCCCTTCTCAGCCATCTGGGTCGGCGTCCATCCGGTCATGTCCTCCCCGATCGGTTGGAGATTGTTGATCCTCGCGAAGAGGGACAACTCCCTGCCCGTCTGTCCGCCGTTCGGGACGACTTCGGCCGGGGGGCTTTGCCTTCGGTGATGCTTAAGAGAGCCCGCCTCTTCTGCGTCCTTCCCTGACGCTTTCTCTTTTCCCTTCCGTCCGGGAGCTCGGGGGGGCCAACGGGTCGGCCGCGGCGTCTGCGAGCAGAACCCCATCGGAGGTGGTCGTGGAAGCGGCCAAGGGACGCGTAATCGGGATGGAGGCGTCACCGACCTCTTGACCGGCCGGTGGAGCAGTGGCAGTTTCCTTTTCCCCCAAGCGTCAGTTTGGCTCAGTGGGCTCGAGGAGCACTGACGGTCGGAAAACCACGAGCTGGACCCATTCCTTCAACAAAAAATAACACACAACATTAGATCATTGTTAGTCGGTGTAAAAAGGCCGAGGAAGTGTAACGGGTGGTAGACCTTCGACGGTCGGCTCGGCTTGAGGGGCCGCTACGGCGATCGACACCGAAAGCGGTCGTGGCGTGTACTTCAGTTCTAAGTCATATTGGGGAGGCGGCAATCGGGCATTCTCGTACGGCTCTCTCGATCGAAAGATCTTGTACTTGTGAAACTCGCAAGAAATGCGGAAGGTTGCTTCTCGAAGGGCTCGGGTGGCTGGTGATTGTACTTGTTTCCTGTAATGTGTCCCCCACGTTCGGTCGACCGGCAGGATCCAAGGGTCGTATTAGACCGAAAAGATTCTGTTCTTCCATCCTCGGTTGTTTCCGGGAAGGTTGGCGATCGAGCATAGGTGGTCTCGGGATTGAATCATCAGGTATCCACCACCGTATAGGGCTGGAAAGGGTTTAACTATGTAAATATAGTTGAAGAGCTCCATTGTACACATGGAATTGTGCCGAGCACATATATGCGGGAAGCATGCCAGTATCCAATAGGCGTTCGGGCATATCTGGACCGCCAACACCCGGTAATAGCCCAAGAACGCGGTCAAGAGGGGGGAAAAGGGGAAGGTGATCGGGGCTCTTAAGGAGTCGAAGTGCATCCCAATCCATTTCCCCTGGTGCCGTTCTTTAATTCCCCCAAGGCTCCTGCAGGTATCGAACCTCACCCGATTGTTTAGTGTGGCCGAGATTTCCGCTGCTTCGTGGGCCCAGTAAGCATTCTTGCTGCTCGACGCTTTCACTGTTGAGGAAGACGAATTCGATCTCTTCAGGCGCCGAGTGGGATGGCCCTTCGTCGGCCGTATCGTGCGAAGCTTCTTGAACGCGGGGCGATACGTGAGCTTCAGAACCGGACCCGATCGTCCAAGTGGGTGTTTCCCGATCGTGATCGGGCGAGGACTCGCGGCCGCTGGTAGATGCGTTGTCGCTGTCGTCGCTACTGCCGCTCGAGCTCGACGAACTAATCTAAAATCCACAGGACCCCGGCCCCTAAAGTCACTATAGAGGTAAATCGTGAGTCTTATTCTTCATTTACCCACAAGGAATCCAATCCCGATCGTGTAATCAGCCCACCAGGCCAGTCAGATCCTACTTTTCATGTGCACAGTGCACACAAGGGTTCCAATCTAAACCTTTTATCATCTGTGGGCTTTGGGCTGAATTTGAACGCATACACCGCCCCTTGGGCAACATTATTTAACTTTTCAAGTGGCATAATCATCAATCATTATTATGTGGACCATGGTCCACACAAGTTGTGTGGACCATATTTTGTCTACTGTAAAATAATGTACATTCAGTACAAAAATAATCTATATTCAGTACAAAAATAATGTACATTATATTCAGGGGATGTACATTATTTTTGTTCTGAGTGTACATTATATTTTATAATATATATTCAGTACAAAAATAATGTACATTTAGTATATTAAAAATGTACTTTTTGTTATGGTCCACGTAACATTGTTTGGACCATGGTCCATACAATAATTTGCCCATAATCATACGAAACAATTAGAATAGTATAAGAAGTGTGTTTACAGGTAAGCCAAGTCAAGTAGTCCTCAACCTTATATTAGCCATTAACCATTTAATCATTTCTATTGCTATTTAAGCGGGGAATGGCACATAGTCCCTAAACGAAAGTGCAACCATAAATTATTGTTGTAATCTCTATCCCAATACCCTCCAAGACCATCTATATAATGCATTGCTCAACTCCATTTCCCTCAAGCCAACATCGAGGAAACATTATATTGTCTAGCTTGGAAGGGCACAGTACAGTCTTTAATAAAATAAACACACAATAATATAATTATTGTACCCTTTCTTCCCAACATGGATTCTTTAACCAATGTTATGGTTTCCCTTGTGATTGGCAGTCTTTTATGTTTCCTGACGATGGGTTCACCATCCACAGCCTCTCCTTTAAACGTCACGCTAATCCAAAAAGCCTGCAACAATACCGCCGACCACGAGTTCTGCCTCGACCACCTCTCCAAAAACCCCTTAGTCGTGTCGGCATCTCAAGAGCCATTGGCGATTGCCGCTGCGATCGCCCAGTCGGGATTGGACAACGCGGAGCGGACGCGCAAGTACGCGATGAACAAGGTCGCGAGGATCCCCGCCGTGAAGACGGCCTACGCCGACTGCGCAACGCTCTTGGGCAGCACGGCCTTGCAACTCAGTGTGGCCGCCAGCATCCTTAAAAACCCCGCCTCTTTGACCGAGGTGGGCTCCAGCGAAGTCGCTAGTGAATGTCTTCTGACCTCCATTGACGGTGTCGCCGGGTGTATGGCAAAGCTTGGAACCCTCAAAGTTGAGGACCAATATGTTATGGTATCGTGTAAGCAGGTGGAGGTTTACAGCGTCGCGGCCGACTCCATTTTGACCGACTTGATGAAGGTCAATATGAACAACTCATTCGATCATATGGATTGAGCGAGGTTGGACGTTGCTACATTTTTGTAATCCATGTACATAATGTGCTGTGGTTCGGTATTATTAAATTATGAATGGAAATTAATTTGCTCCTAAATTAATGAGGATCAAGTTTAGTGAAATTGTGAGAAAGATCATATCATTCGTGAGACGGGTTTATAAAAAAACTTAATATCAATTTGAATTAAAAATAAATCGTGATAGATATTCTAATATTTATATGTCAAACTATGATATATTATTTAACATGACTCGATCAATCACTATGGTTTACACATATAATGAACATTCAGTACACAAATAGTATACTTTTATTATATTAAAAATGTACATTGTATTCATGGAAAGTAAATTATTTTATATAATGTTAATCGAACCAGACACATAAAAAAGGAATTGACATTGAAATTTTGGTGAATAAGTTTGTATTTAAATTAAATTTTGAATTGTATTTTTTTTTGTTAAATTTATGCATTATATTTGGACAAAACTTTTATATTTTTATTTTTGTCATAAAATACAATAAAATGGACTTGGACTCAATTACCTTTATAAATATGTATCTCTATGTATCATTATAACGAAATCTAAATGTTAAAAAATCGTTCTTGAAATTTTAACTTCCCGCCCAATTCTTAAAAAATCTCTCTTCCTAATAAAATATATTGATTTCTACTTTCGCATTCGTACATATCCCCTTTTGTGGTGTGTGGCCTCCCTCTTATAGTGATCTTATATAGGTGGAGACCTGCTCGAACACGAACACCTGACCCAAACTGCGGGCGAGCAGGAGGTGACTAGGGTTAAGTTTTTTCGGCGATATTTGGTGATTTGGTCGGGAGGACTAAATGTGTTAAAAATTAGTGATTTGGTCGGGAGGACTAAATGTGTTAAAAATTACATAGTTGGACAAAATTGTTAATTTTTAAAGTGGTATTGGAATTTTATGTAAAAGGCAGTGTATTTGGATGTGGGTTTATTAAATGGTTCGATCGTCCTGCTCAAGGTCGAAGAAAATTACTCCAAGACTATTTGAGAATAATAAATCGAAATGAAGAAGAAATTGAGACGTTGAGAAGGAATATAAGAGCTGAGAATAATAAATCGAAATGAAGAAGAAAATGAAGAAGAAATTGAGACGTTGAGAAGGAATATAAGAGCAGTTGGTGAGACTATTGACAACGCCCTCTCGCGCGTGGGTTGTTTGTTTGTGTTGGGATGAATCCCGGATTATGTCATTCTCAAGGATGACCGCTCTGAGTTACCCCTAAGTTGCTAATTTCAAAAAATAAAGACATCGGCATTGTTTGACTGCATGTCACACGCACACAAAAGATAAATGTCGTAGTGAACTAGTAAAACAATTGCTAACAAGTGGTAATCAAATGAAAAGTAGATAGGGTTGAATTGTTTAGTGTGGATTAAGATGCTTATAGAATCATTAAACATAGGGAAAGATGATGCAAATGCTAAGTCTAGGGAATGACTTGTGTTCTAGGGAATGACTTGTGTCCTTTCGTAACTTAGACTACTGGGACTTGTTTAGGTCTCACCTAAACCTTTCCACGAATACCTTGCCTACAACTCTACTTGTGTAGGGTTCCTTGAGCTAGGAAATGCCAAGGATGGGAGTTTGGAATGACCTAGCATAGGCCAATCCCTCAAAAATCATAGGAGGTGATCAAGTTCCTTTGATGCAAACAAATCAATCCGCAACAACAAGACATAGAAGCATTGCAATCAATCAATCTCTAATTCAAGAACTAAGTCAAAAAAGCAACATCATCACACACTTTCACAATTCAAATCCTAGCTAAGCTAGCCTACAATAGCCATAGAAATCATAGCATTCATAAATCTAAATCTAGCCAAGCAAATAGAAATGAAAAGATTTGAGATTATACCAAACAAGTAGATTAGAAAATAAGAAGAATTCTTGCAAGATCTCTTGAATTGGAGTATGTCAATCTCTTCCTTCAATGGATCTCCCAAGAAATCCAAGCTTGAATCTACCACAATCACTCTAAAAATTGTTCTCTCTCAATCTAACAATGTTAAGCTCTCCAATCTTTCCAAAGTCTAAGCAAAAGTCCTCTAAAAATCTGATCTAAAACTTCTTAAATAGCCTCCTCCCCTTTCAATCCCTTCCGCAGCTCTTCCACGCGACTCGCAACGCCCCGAACAACGCACGTTGTTCCGGAACTTATTCCGTCTAACGCGCGTCACAACGCATGTTGTGACGTGCATTAAACTTTCTGGAAATCTGCTCTGTTGTGGCCTTCCCACAACGCATGCTACAACGCGCGTTGTGGCCTTCGTGGCTTGGTCTTGGCTTGTCTTCCTATCCCGCTTTCCTCCGGATTGTGCCACTTTGCCTCGTTTTAGCCCAAAACTTCCCTAAAAACATATAAAACACAAAGTGTGGTGGTAATTTACAATAAAATGCAAAACATAGCTTATTGACACAAAATTGTTACACAAAGGATTGTTTTTAGCTTAGAATTCATCCTAAATGGACCTTAAAAGTGTGTGTCTTTGACACTTATCACAAGTTTCCACACTTTAGACTTGCTTGTCCTCAAGCAAGTTTCAATCAAACCAATGATCACTTAAGTGTCAAAGATACACTTAACCCCAACTCATTGATAACTTAATTCATCCAATGGTCAATCAAGATAAGTGTCCCGCTACGGAGGGGGTGAAGTTCATCATATCATGTAATAAATATGCTAGTCATGCACTCCTACTAAGCTACTCCAGGAATATACTAAGGAAGTCTCGAACTCCTAAAAGATAGAATGAAAACAAAGGAGGGTACCCTCTCACACCATTCATAAAGCATGCGATCCAAAATTGGTATTCACCTCTTATCTTGCAAAAGCCTATAGCCAAGCTACACTAGTGGGAACGATGTGTACAATTCAACGGACCCCATCCTTATAACGCCAAGGTCCTTTACAAGAAAATAAGTGAATGGTTTGGCATGGGACACTCACCAACCTTAAGTCAAGGTCCAATTTCCTTCGGCACGGAGCTCCGTGTTTTACCACGGGGAAACTTTTTTTGGTCCCGACGTAAGCGTTGGTTCTGACACACTTCCACCCTTATGCCAAAGATCGACTCCCCGCGGCATAGATCTCTATGTTTTAATCCGAGGAAGTCTTTCGTGATCCCGACATAAGCAATGTCTCCCTCTTTTTTGCTCTTTTTTTTTTCTCATCTCCTAAGACATCACCATTGGGACAACCGACTTCACGTAGAGCTCTACGCTTTTTCGAAGACAGTGTAATGGAATTGCCCCAAACCCTAGCGAGATGGCTTACCTCTTTTCTTATCTCACGGGACGGCCATTTATTTTTTGTCTTTGCCTTTTTCTCATCGTCATTCCCCTACTTTTATTCACTCATGCTTTTCTTTTGGGATTAGGGAACTTTTCTTACTTCTCACCACAAGGTTTCACCTTTTGCCTCATACCTTGCCAAGATTAGGTTCATTCCCGACCTTGCATTTTTATCTTTCCAAGGTTGGAGAGTACACACTCCCACTTCGAGGGATCATTTACTAAGGTCTAAGCAAGATAGGAGGTGAATTCATACAAGCATGCATCAAATGTAAACTTAAATGGCTTATCTATGCAATTCCTCACTTGGGTGTACAGAGAATAACTTCCAAAGGATATTTCAAGCGTAAAAACTTTTCGTACGGGCACATCACTATCACATTTATCACATGATATGAACAACGACGCACTCTCCAAATCCAACACACTCGTCAATCAAGCACCAATGAATCAATTTAAGCCACAAAAGTCCTTTAAGCACAATGTGCTTCCCTTTCCACACTTTAAATCGAACATTGCCCTCAATGTTCTTTAAAACATAGGTGGACAAGGAAAGTCAAGGTCTCAACAAAAGTGTTTGTTCCTTTCCACACTTTAGAATTTTTACGGAACTTGGATGAGATTGAAAACTAATCCTTTGTGATAAAGTAAATCCACTTAAGCATGCAAACATCAACCAAGATTTCCACACTTTAGAATTAAAACATAGGGCCTAACAAGTCAAGGGATAGAAAATTGTCACCAAATGAAGTGCATATCCCTTTAGTTTCGAAAACCATTCGCCTTTGCCCTTTCTCTCGAAAGAAAAACTTCATGAAAAATTGGTTAGTGGCATAAGAAATGTAGCACAATTTAAGCTCATGAAAAAGGGATGGGAAGGCTAATCCTACCTAATATTTTTGTGTATTTCCATTTCGGCCTTTTTCAATTTTTTTTTTTCAATAAGGAAGGTAACTAAAGTAATATAAAGAGACTAGTCCTAAAATTATTTCTAGGGAGATTATCAAAGTAGAAAATCAACTACTCCATGCATCAACGACTAGAGATAGGCAAGCTTCAAGCAAGTAAGATAAAACAAAAGCAAAATAACGAAAAGTCATAAAACGTAATGCATAGTAGTCAAACATAAAGTGTAAAACATAAAAATAAAACGAAGTATGGTAAGTAAAATCTAAATAATTCCAAATGAAATTGTGCCCCAAATAGTTAAATTGTTTTGTTTTTTCTCCTTCTTCTTGGAACCATTACTCGTCACCACCAAATGCCAGAGGGTGGAATTGTCGGTAGAACATCACGCGAAGCTCCTCCATATCCTGGCTTTGATGGTCAAGTTGCTCCCTCGTGGCTCTATGCATCACCATATTCTCTTGATGGAATTGGTATTGCAAGGCCCTCATCGATAGAGCTGTCAAAATGGGTTTTACCCGCCGGGTCGACCCGTCCCGTACCGCCGTAGGTAGGGGACGGGTTCTTCAAATTTTGATCCGCCAGGAGGCGGGCTTTTTAGCCCGCCCCGCCTCGGTCACGGGTCCAGGCGGGGCGGGTCAGGCGGGTCACGGGTTTAGCCCGCGACATGCTAATACATATATATTTAGTATTTAATACATATTATTTTTTGTATTATTTTGGTTTGTGTAATTGTGTTAGTGTGTTATAACTTATAGGATTATAGATTTATAGTAATACAATACTCGGTAGTGTTACTGTGTTAGTGTACTGTACGTCTGACAGTGATTCTTTTTTTTTTTTTTTAAGGATATT